GGGGGTAATAGTTTATTCTAAGGTACTGATTTGTTAGTTTTGACAGGTCCTTTGTAAATCCTATCCATCTGAATTTACATCGTACTTCCATTATTGCCGATCACTGCGGTTTGAAGACAAACCAGATTATTCATATTTGAAGAGGCTTTTCAGGGACCTGTTTATTCGGGAAGGTTAGTCAGTCATTAGATTTCTTAAGGCCCCAACTTCCAAAATCATTGTTAACGTGATTCTTTACTGATGTAATATTCGTCTTCTTGGCTCATTGTAAATTTTTTGTAATCCCTTTGGAATTTGAAAACCTAAGCAGTGTGACCATATTACCTGGTGCAGGTTATCAATTTGACTATGTATTTGATTGGACTATACTGAAATATCCACAGATCGGATCAAGCTCAAGAGCACGAGTATGTGTTTCTTAATTGTCTCTCACGTCACACACACAAAACAACCACGTGCGAGCAGTCACGCAGTTGTGCACAGTTGCAATATACTGGATTAAAATTTTCTTATTTTATTTTATTTTATTTTCTAATCTTTTGTAGCAACCAAGTGGAAAACCAGCTATAAACCCTGGACCATCTGCAGAAAGAACAGAAAGGCCTTCAGGTTTGTTCATTTGTTGGGAACATTTAGAAATTAGCTTAAGATGTTGATACTGGTTTGAAGTTTAGATTTTCTTTACTTTCTCATCAGGGGTTAAGGGTCTCAATCATTTGTGGTTTCCCTGAGCGTTGATTTGACATTTCTTTTTTCAGTTTCAAATTGTTACGTGATTTTTCTCAAAAAGTCAAAATAGGTTCAAGGATGCATCTTATTCATTGTTTTGGGGGGATTTTTCTATCTTTTTCCTTGCTTGATACACGAAGTAACTAGATTTCAATGTTTTTGTACCATGATGTCTCATCAGTGGGGCAGGAGATTCGGGATAGATTCTCTGGCGCAGTTGAGGCTTTTGCTAGAAGGAATGGCTCTGGGCATGGTTTGCACGGTGATCACTCCAGACACAGATCTTCAGATGATGTACCATCATCCAAGGAAGTGGTCAGTAATTGCAAAAAAGTTTCATGTATGTTTGTGTAATTTGTAGTGTGTCGCATAAGCGTGTTTTCACCACAACCCAAATGGCCAAACTTCCTCAATGGAGTTCCGGTATACGTCTTCCATTTTGTTTTTAATATCCGTCACTTCCTCTGCAGAAAGCTGATTCTGAAAGGGCCCGGAGTTCTTCTCGGAATGGTAGTACTTCAAAGAGGCCTGTCATATCAAGCAGCCGTCCGAGCTCCTCTGGTGAGCCTAGTGAGAACCGCTCAAGCCGGCTGGTCTCAAGCAGTGGTCGCCTGTCAACAACCCAAAGAATTCAACCTGGGTTCGAGTCCAAAACAACAACTTTCACCCGCACTACTGCAGCTACAAGAGGCGGTCGTGAAGACGCACTTCGAAGCTTTGAACTCCTCTCGATCGGCACAGGAAAGAGGAAATAAAATGGTTAAACCGTCTGGTAAAGTCACGAGTGCTTGTGCTAAAGGTCTCAAAATCTCTTTTTGTTGCAATCAAAAGATGGGCAACACACCATAATGGTTTTCATATGAGTTACTACTCTCAAGTCTGCATATGTGTATGCATTGTTGGGTTCCATTCACAGTTGAAAAATTCAATGAAGTTTCTCGTCAAGACAAAAACTCTTTTTTATCCCTTTCAGCGACTCTTGCCACATAGAAAGAGAAGAGGAATTATTATTATCTCACTAAAAGGGAAATGTTCATATATCTTTGAGCAACACTAGTAGCTGTAACAAGTACCTCTACTATTGCCTTTTTTTTTTCTTTTCATTTCTCTTTCCGGATAAAGAAAACAATGCTCCAAGAAATGATCAATGAGATTATTCTTGCTAGTCTCTGTTGAAACAAAAAAAAAAAAAAAATGCAATAAATAAAAAATAGTAAAAAAAATGGTCACGTGGGAGGTTGGATAATTTCCTGGAGGAAGTAGATGCATGGGCAAAGATAAAAATGTGTTAGTGGGAAGTTTGATAAAAAAAAGTAATGTGGGTAAGTTTACAAAACTGTTAATGGAAGTTATCTTCTACATTAGTGATCCATAATGTTGAATCCACGTGAGTGAAGGTAATATATGTGTAGATATGTATATATGTGATGAATATGATCATATTTAAAATATTGTTACAGTTTTTAATCTGACTTATAAAGTGCAGTCCGAAACAAAAATTAATGACCATTTACAAAGGGGGGTGTCTTTGTTTCTGGCCAAAAAAAAAAAAAAATGGTAGTGATGAAAGGCAAAAAAAAAAAAAAAAAAAAAAAAAAATTTGTTCGGCAACGTGTAAAAGACTACCTCTCCTTTTGTTCCTTTTTAGCTGAAAAGCAATCACCTTTTTTTTGTTGCTTGGAGTTGAAAGATAGTTTTGTATGTAAATCAAAGACAGAATGCAATAAAAACTTTGTCAAAAGAAATTGACGATTTGATGCACAAAAAACAAATAAAAAAGGAATAAAAAGATAGAACGAAACAAAACAAATGAATCATATATATATATATATATATATATATATATATATCTCCTTTTGTTCCTTTTTAGCTGAAAAGCTGTTGTGTGGAAAAATGTGACGGACACATGGACGAACGATAATGCGACACGTGGCCTTGACGACTCCCCACCAAGCAAAAACCCTCGACGTCTACGGACCCCTCCTATGCCGCTGGAAAGCTCAAAGCACGAAGTCTAAATTAGGGCGACGATCCTTTATGGCGTCGACAGATCGCGCCGTCAAGATTGAGGCACGAAGATCCCTCGACCGTAGAAAGGACCCAAAGAGGGTGATTGGGCTAAGCAGCGCTGACGAAGAGGGGAACGTTCTTTAGAGGACGTGACGGGTTGCGTGCAAAAGTGGAAGACGTCTGCAGGCATTAATTACAAGCTCTCAAACCACCCCACAGGGGACATAAAAGTATTACGGAGAAGCACAGAGCCGTAATAGGAGACTAATTGGCTGAGTGAACAATGCTGATTAGTGGGCTACGTCTGGGCCTACCAAGGAAGAGCACTTGAGTGCTTCCACCTAGGAAGGAAACCCCCTAAGCAAAGGAAGCCCAGTATAAAAGGAGGAAGACCCCCAGTAAGGCAGAGGTTCAAAAATTCCAGCAAGGAGAAAAGAGATTAAATGAGAGCAATTACTGTAAATCGTTATCTTCTAAAAAGAAATACAAAATCACAGTGGATGTAGCTCTCATTTTATAGAGTGAACCACTATAAAATTCCTTGTGTCGTTTGTCTATGCATGATTTAGTTAACACACAAACACACATATTCAACAAATCCTCATACGTTAACTACACACTGGCCGGTAATCCAAAGGGAAACCAAGAGGTAACCCGGCCGGTTTTTGTTGGCGAAATTTGACCGTCAACAATTGGCGACTCCGCTGGGGACCGAAAACGTTCGACCCCCAACAACATAGTTATAAACCGCCATCCATCCAGGGAATAGCGAGATGGAAGAAGATCTACGCCCGTCGGAAACGAAGTCCCACCTCCAGACGCACCATGGCCGGATCCGATGCAGATGCAGGCCCAACTAACCACTCTAACTGAGTTGGTACGTGGGCTAATGACCGTGGTTGAGCGCTTAGATGGAAGGAACTCCATGCCACCATTATAAGACGCCCCGAGGCCGCAGGGACCTGCCATGGCAGGAGATCCGAACCACGGTGACCACCTACATATCTAAGAGGGAACCGGAGATAGTGAGAATCACCGGGGCCCTCCTAGGCGTCGGCCTTCCCAATCCTCTGGCAGCCGTTTGGGGGCCGCCAGACTCCGAGCTCCCGAGGACCGGGTACCGAGAGGTCCGGAAAACCCCAAGGTACTATCCCAGAATCCAGGTGGAAACCCGCCAGGAGACTCAGGATCAATACAAGCAGGCGGCCAGGCCCGAGGCGGACCCAACGCTCAGAGGGCAGAAGTGTCGAGAGTAGCCGGCTCGGCCATTTCGACAGAAGAAGCACGCGCCATCATGGAACGTATGGCCAGCCTGGAGCAAAAACTGACAGGGGACGTGGCGGGCCTAAAAAAGAATATAGATCGTGTGACTGAGGTGGTAAACGTCGATATCACTCCCAACCACACACATGACCATCCATTTACCGAAGAAATAATGGCGCCCCCTCTCCCCGATAAATACAGGTCGTCGTTGATCCCACCGTATGATGGGCGAGGAGATCCCGATGACCATTTGGAGATGTACACAGGGCACATGCTCTTGCACGGTTATGCCGAGGAGATCATGTGCCGAGCCTTTCGAAACTATTTGACGGATTCTGCCCGAAGACGGTTCCGGACGCTGAGGCCAAACTCTATCTCGAGCTGGGACGAGCTGAAGGAAGTATTTTCCCTCCAATTGATAAGGGTCAAAAAGTACGTCCCCCCAAAGCAAAATCTGACGATGATATACCAAAAGCCAAACGAGTCACTAAGGGAATGGCTCGCGAGATATCGGGAGGCTGTCGCCGCCACGATGGATATAACAGATAGAGAGGCCTTGATGGGGGCCTTGTCTAGCATGAAGAAAATTACCACATTCAAAAGAGAGCTGAACTGGAAACCTTCGTCTAGCTACAGGGAGTTTTTGGCGCGAGCGCAGGGGTACATCAACGCCGAAGAGGCGGACGCAAACGACCCCGAGCACAGGTCCAACAAGAATAAAGGAACCGAACAAGGGTCGACGCCTGTGAAACAGGATGGGAAGAAGCGTCGAGGTGGAGGAAACGGAGACAAGCAGCCCGCCGCGACGACGAGTGCTCCAGAGGCCAAGAAGCCGAGGAAAGAGGATACCCGTAAGCCTCGACTGTTCTAAAAATACGATTCCTACCACGAGCTAACGGTAGGAGTCGATGAGGTCTTCAATCAGGTCAGCCGCGGGAACTTGCTGCGCCGACCGGAACCGATGAAGTCAGATCCCAGCCGAAGGAACCAGAAGAAATTCTGTAGGTTCCACGGCGATGTCGGCCACCACACCAACGATTACGTCGACCTCAAGGATGAAATCGAAAGAGTGATCCGCGAGGGAAGGTTACAAGAGTTTAGGGCCGAACAAAGACCTCAAAATGACGGCCATGGTGGGCAAAATGACGGTCGATGCCGAGAGGAGAACCAGCGCCCAGAGGATCGCGAGCCCGTCGGCATCATACGGACTGTCCTCGGCAGTCCTTATATAGGAGGGGATTTAAGGAGGTCTCAAAAGGACTACGCCCACGAGGCCAGGGGGGTTTATCAGGGGCGATTCTGGAGAGTCTCCGCTGTGAAAGCCCCAAGGTACAGCCACACCGACGTGGCCTTTAACGAGGATGACGCCAGTAGGGTTCATTTCCCCCACAACGACGCCTTGGTGGTGGAAGCCATGATAGGAAACCACACCGTGTGCAAAATCCTGGTAGACAATGGGAGCTCGGTGGACCTCCTATACTCCGACTGCTTGGAGAAAATGGAGATCTAAAAGGAACAATTGGAAAAAATCTCCAGGCCACTATATGGTTTCACCGGAGACTCCGTCATCCCCAAGGGACCATCCGGTTGCCTATAATCGCTGGAGAAAAACCCTAACAGGCTACCACAATGGCCAACTTTGTGGTTATAAAAGGAGGCTCCCAATACAACGCCGTGATTGGAAGACCAACCCTTCAGGCGCTAAGGGCCATAACTTCCGTTTACCACCAAAAGGTCAAGTTCCCTACCCCAAATCGCGTGGGCGAGATAAAGAGCAACCAGTACGAAGCTAGGGTTGCATACTCTGATGCCCTGCGCGGATATGACCAGCCAGGAAGACAGGAGGCAATGATGGTTCACCAAAGCCTCGTCGAGGACATAGACCCCAGGATCCAAAAAGAAGTCACATGGTCTTAACCCATCGAGCAGTTGGTGGAAATCCAAGTTGATGAAGGCGAGTCCACCAAAGTACTAAAAATGGGCTCAGGCTTAGCCCCATCACTTAAGGTTGAGATCAAAAACTTCCTCAGAAAGAACTTAGATGTCTTCGCCTGGAATCATTCCGACATGGAAGGGATCGACGCCAAGGTAATATGTCACTCCCTAAACATCGACCCCTCATATCCGCCCAAGCGCCAAAAATGTCGACCGATGAACCCCGAGAGGTATGAAGCGCTGAAAGAAGAGGTCGACAAGCTTATCAATAATGGGTTCATCAGGGAGGCCCATTACCCACGTTGGGTATCAAACCCCGTTCTAGTGGTCAAGCCCAATGAGAACTGGAGGACATGTGTCGACTTCAGCGATCTCAACAAAGCCTACCCAAAAGATGGCTTTCCACTCCTTCGAATAGACCAAATGGTCGACGCCACGGCGAGACATGAGATGCTGAGCTTTATGGATGCCTACTCCGGATACAACCAGATCCCCATGCATCTAGCCGATGAGGAGCACACATCCTTCATAACCGACAGGGGCCTCTACTGTTACAAGGTGATGCCTTTCGGCCTGAAAAATGCAGGGGCTACCTACCAAATGCTTGTGAATAAAATGTTCGCTCAACAGCTCGGCAAAACGATGGAGGTCTACTTCGACGATATGCTTGTAAAAGTACCAGGGCCAGCTATCACGTCAATCACTTGGGGGAAATATTTGGTGTGTTAAGAAAATACCACATGAAACTCAATCCCTAAAAATGTGCCTTTGGAGTTGGGTCGGGGAAATTTCTCGGTTTTATGGTCAGCAACCGTGGGATTGAAACTAACCCTGAGAAAATCAAAGCCCTACAAGATATGCGGTCCCCAGCAAAGTCAAAGGAAGTGCAAAGATTAACAGGATGTGTCGCCGCCCTAAACAGATTCATATCAAAATCAACCGACAAATGCGTCCCCTTTTTCGACGCTTTGAAAGGAAGCAAGCGCTTTGAGTGGACACCTCAAAGTGAAGAGGCCTTCCAGAAATTGAAGGAGCATTTGGGCAAGCCCCCAATTTTGTTAAAACCAAAGATCGACGAGGAGCTTAGCCTATACCTCTCCGTGTCCCAACACGTTGTAAGCTCCGTATTAGTAAGAGAAGAAGAGAGGGTGCAATTGCCGATCTACTATGTGAGCAAAAGGCTCATCGATGCTGAGTCAAGATACAGCGAAATGGAACGCCTAGCCCTCGCCCTGATGGTAGCTTCAAGGAAGCTTCGGCACTATTTCCAATCTCACACAATACGGGTTCTCACAAACCACCCGCTGAGACAGGCTCTACAAAAGCCCGAAACTTTTGGCCGACTCCTCAAATGGTTGGTAGAATTAAGCCAGTTCGACATAAAATACATGCCAAGAACTGCGATCAAGGGCCAAGCGCTTGCCAATTTTCTGGCTGAGTTCTCTCATAGACCAGCTCCCGCCGCATCTGGAGAAGTCGAGGTTACAAAATGGAAGCTCTACGTGGATGGGGCGTCGAGAAAAAATGGGTCAGGAGCCGGCGTCTTGTTCATCAGCCCCGAAGGCCACAAGATTACTTCGGCGGTTCAATTTAAATTCAAGGCGTCGAACAATGAGGCGGAATATGAAGCACTAATTGCCGGACTACGGTTAGCTAGCCACCTGAAGATCGAAAGGCTCAGCGTCTTCAGCGATTCTCAATTGGTCATCGCGCAAGTAAATGAAGAATACCAAGCGCGCGGCGAGAAGATGGGAGCGTACTTGAGAAAACTAAAGGAAGAACTCGTTAAGTTCAAAAACTACGAAATACTTCAGATACCATGGGCCGAAAACGCGAATGCCGACGCCCTGGCAAAATAGCATCTTCAAGAGATTTCGACACCATGGGCGTCGTTCCCATCGAAGAATTGGAGCGGCCGACCATTGAAGAACAAGCTAAGGCATTAATTGTCCAAGTAGGTGGAAATTGGATGACACCGCTCATCCAATACCTAATGGACGCACATCTGCCAGATAATAAAGATGAAGCCAGACGGGTCAGGTATAGAGCTGCTAGGTACTTATTGTACGACAGCTTGCTCTACCGACGAGTCTATTCAACACCTCTACAGCGGTGTCTGGGTGATGCCGAAGCCCAGAAGGTCCTCTAAGAAATCCATGAAGGAGTCTGTGGTAACCATACTGGGGGATAGTCTCTGGCTCTAAAGGTTTTGAGGCAAGGATACTACTGGCCCACGCTTAAAAAGGACGCTTTTCAATACGCCCGACGTTGCGATAAATGCCAAAGGTATGCCACAATTCCTAGAGCACCCCCAGAAAATTTAACTTCCATTCTCAGTCCATGGCCCTTCGCCAAATGGGGGGTTGACCTGATCGGGCCATTACATCTTGCACCCAGGGGATTTAAGTTTGCAATCGTTGCGGTAGACTACTACACGAAGCGGGCAGAAGCAAAGGCTCTAACTACAACCACGGAAGCAGCCTGCACCAAATTCATGTGGGATCACATCGTGTGCCGGTTCGGGGTTCCCCACTCGATAGTATCCGACAACGGAAAGCAGTTCGACAATGCCTCAACACGCAGATTCTGCGATAGCTTGGGCATCCAGAAAGACTTCTCGGCACCGATCCATCCACAATCAAATGGACAAGTCAAGGCGGTCAATAAAATACTAAAGTATACCCTCAAAAAGAGACTCGACGATCTGAAAGGGAAATGGGCTGAGGAACTTCCCAAGGTCCTATGGGCATACAGAACGACGAGCCGAACTACTACGGGTGAGACACCCTTCTCCATGGCGTATGGCGTCAAGGCAGTACTCTTTATAGAAATCGAAACGCCGACTCTAAGAACCGTCATCCATAACAACGATGACAACGCGGAGGGCATGAACGGAGAACTCGACTTGTTGGAAGAAAAAAGGCTCGACTCCCAACTACGTCTTGCCGCCTATCAGCAAAGAACAACGCGATACTACAATAAGAAAGTTCGGCAGAGAAGGTTCATCCCAGGAGAGCTAGTATTAAAAAGGGTAACGCAGAGCACAAAACCCAAAAATACTAGTCCACTAGGCCCAACTTGGGAAGGGCCCTACCGCATAAGGGAAGTTCTACGTCCTGGTACCTACATTTTGGAGAGCCTCAACGGCAAAAGGATTCAACACCCATGGAATGCAGAACAGCTAAGACTGTACTACCAATAGTGTATGAAATTCTTACATATCTCAATTGTACATTCTTTACAAGTTGAATAAATTGATATATTTACAGAAAGAAAAGAATTCACCCATTAATAACATGTTTGCTTAAAAAAAAAACCAAGGTTATATTAAACATACATGGGGGGACAGAGGTCTACGGATCACTAAAAAATGACACAATGACCCCAAGGGGTGCAATCGACGTCAGATCCTCCAAGGAGAAAAGATGAGGACTTAGTAAAATTCCAAGGAATTTTCTAAGACGACGACCCCAAGAGGTGCAATCGACGTCAGATCCTCCAAGGAGGAAAGATGAAGACTTAGCAAAATTCTAAAGAATTTTCTAAGATGACGACCCCAAGGGGTGCAATCGACATCAGATCCTCCAAGGAGGAGAGACAAGGACTTAGCAAAATTTCAAGGAGGTTTCTAAGACGATGACCCCAAGGGGTACAATCGACGTCAGATCCTCCAAGAAGGAAAGGCAAAAACTTAGTAAAATTCTGAGAAATTTTCTAAGAAAGCAGCAATTGCAAATCAATGTATAAATTAAATCTGTTATCTTTTATATATATAAAGTGCAGATAAAATAAAAGGTGTCTGAATCGACAATAAGTTACAAACAAAAGAGAGACAGGTAAAAATCATTCAGGCCTCGCCGCCAGCCGCCGATTCTTCGCCGTCACCAGGCGGGGAAACGTTGTCGTTGTTGGGAATAGTGTCCTTGAAGCATGAGATGTAATAGGATATTTATTATTTAATTAATAAAAGAGTTTATTCATCATTTTATGTGCATATATTTATGAATATTTTATGAATATCAAATGAAAATTCCATGATTGTTTATGTAACCTTAAACATAGTATATAAGTGTTATATAAGAGAGGATAGTGTTTAAGGATAATAATCAAAAACATTGTTCATGATGAATTTAATTAAAGTTCGGAATCTTTAATTAAAACATTATTAATACATGTCATTCCCATTTAGAATGGAACGGTGTTATCCGCACTGTTAATATGGTGAGATATTGAATGAGTGTATTTCGCATAATAAGATTATGTGGAACAAGGACAAAGACACAATATGAATTTCTAATAATTTTCGTTAAGCATAGAAATTCTAATTGAGTCTACCGATGGTCATATATAGGATGATCTTAATCCTGAGTTTTTAACAAACTCCTATTTATGGATTTATGTCTTTTGATTTACTCGGTATGGATTCTGAGACCCTGAATCCTATTCCTTGTATTTTGGAGACATAATAAAATAGGTAGCTGGGAATGTTATTGTACGAGATGGAATCCATTCCTTCTTGAGAAAGAAGTAGATAAATAATTCTCTTGAGTGTTGATTCGGTACTTGGATTAGTAAGAGCGCTATGGTTCATGAATGTGTTTTATGAATCACTATCCATTAGAGA